TGTTACTACAGTGTACCAAAAACGTGTTGAATCCACAAATAAATAATAATCTGTTTGTATTTATAATGTTATACAAGGCTGTACTAGAAACTATTTCGAATAAGTTATATCGTGCATATCACACACACACACACACATACATTTGCGTTATGTATTATTTATAAAATACAATATTATTTCGTACAGCGTATCGTGTTTATCGTACGACTAAAATTGTACTATACACGTCACATTGCGTTTTACGACAAAATTGAATCATTCTCCGCGTATTATAACAATATATGCGTGTACCATGTAGTATATGATATGCATATAATAATATATATACGGTACGTTACGCGTGTGTCTTCAGGTGGAAATTGTACAGTAAAATTATGCTATTTGATAATTGGATACGTCTTATTCGGCAACAGTCGTTTTGTGCGAATTCAGCGTATTAAAATTAAATTACAAAAATTTCCGATCACACTCGAGCTTATCCCATTATATTCTTTTCCGGTGACAGATAAACTCCCTCGCGTTTCGCCCTCTCTCCCAAACACACTCTCTCATTCTCTCTCTTTCTCTCTGTCACTCTCCATCTCTCTCCGTCTCTCAAAGATAGCATAAACGTGTCAGAGCACTTTTCGTAAACTCGATTTAAAACACGTATGTGACTGTATCGGGTATATATATATAGTAATATGTACAGTTCAGTAGCGTATACTGTAGTGTATAGTCGTTTTGCGTGTACGCGATCATGTCCTACAAAAAAAAAAAAAAAAATACGTATAAAATGAAATAATAAAAAATATCGTACACACCATACAAATACAATTCGGATCGTTAAAAAAAAATAAATAATATGTCATCGTCGTCGTTAGTGTGCTATACGTATATAAAAGACTGAAGACACGGGACCCAACCTATTGACTACCGCCTACTGCATGTATAATATAATATAACATTGTTAAAACGCGTATACTATTATTATTATATTGTGTACACGTATATAGTTATTTTTTCACAACGATTAGCTATATTAATATTACGTGCTATAAAAATATATCATTTACTTAAAAAAATTATTACTGGTTTGCGTCAGGATCTCGGGTCAGGTTAGGATTGAATGAGGTCGGTTCGTGAGTAGGTTGGGTTAGATTAGGGTATTGGGCTGCGTTGATCGAGGATCACTAACGTACAGATATGTGAATTAAGTAAATGTTTTTGGTTGGGCCAAGGTGGATCATTATACCAATAAATTATAATGTACAATTTTTTTATATATAATATATTCAATAAATGATAATATTTTTAAACAGTGTTATATTAATAGATATATTAGGGCACATTAGTATAAGTTAGACAAAATAGCAAATAAAAAATCTGTACAAAATATATATTTATTGGACCACAAATTGTATGCGATTTAAATATAAAAAATGTATATTAGTCATGAATATTGTGTTCTGTGCAATTCTAAATATGCACAATACATATATCTATATCACAGTTATATTAATCTAGAATAATTAATAACATAACAATATAAAAAAGTAATTATTTTTTAATAATTTATTACTGTTGTATAAATTTATAATCAAAGATGCAAAAGAAACGTACATTTTCTTATTTTTGTTTAATAATTTTAGTGACTCCACTGTCAATCAAAACAAAATTAAAAAAGTTATTATTTTTAATGATAGTTGGGCTTGTAATTTGTTTTGTCTTCATAAATTAAATTAATTTATTTTGGACAATAAGCTTAATGCACGTTTGTTTATCGACCAATTAATAATTGTCTGTTGGTTTTTGTTTGAACTTAAACAATAATTATTATGATTTTAATGATAATTACTACATACCTCGTGTTCAGAAAAACTGATACAGTAGATAACTGTAAAGCTAGAAGTTCACTGTTAATATTCAGTCTATTTCCAGTCTATTTCTATAGTTCATACTAAGTACCCATAAACAACAAATTTATTAAATTATCATGTTTAAAACGTATTTAACCTCAAACTTAACAAATAAACCGAAGGAAAATATTGTATGTTTAATTTTAATTTTAATCTAGCATATCATAGTTTGATTGGATCTTTATGTTTTAATACTTTATTACTAGTTTTTAGAATAACATTTTTTAATATAATGCATCAAATACATTTTAAGATAAAGAAACAAGTTAATACAAAGTCAATTCTTAGTAAAAAAAAAAAATAAATAAATAAATAAATATTGTTCTTGTAGCTATCTTATCCCAGACAAAAATTACTTAAAATAATTCTGTTTTGTTATTTCGTGATATTTAATACAAACAACATTCATATATTATATTAGATATAAAAAAAACAAAATAAAATTGAAAATATTTATGTATACTTTATTTTTATTTTATTTTTTATTTTTGCTTACAATAATTATTTAATAAGACAAATAATATAAATTATAGAACGTATGTAAAAAAAAATAAATAAATAAATTATTTGTGCATGTAAGAAAATTTGTTTCAAACGTATAACTTAAAATCAATGGATTATTGTTCATATTATATTAACAATCAGGTAAATAATATTATAATAATTATTAGTAAACAGTGAAATTTATTAAAAATAGAGTGTAGTTTTTTACATCTATATTTTTTAACTTTTATTCTTAATACAGTACTAAAAACTTTCTTCTTGACTATAGAAATTATGAAAATAAACTTGACCTATATTTAGCATGATATTCTTGATGAAAATGTGGCTATGAATATCCTTCAAATTAAATAGAATGATTAGCATAACATTGTGCCATTTTTATATGGACACTGTTATGTTCCTGGTGTTAAAAGCATTATATTTAAAATAAAATTTAATAATATAGTTACTTATTTGCATATAGTGTATAATAAATTCAATTCGTATAATACATTTATATATTAATCTCAAACGAATTTAAACTGTTGGAGTAGTAAGTTGTAGATTGAAAACAATATGAAAAATTGTTCGCATACAAACATGAAAACCATTCTAATTAATAAATGAGCCACAGTACTTACGTACTAAATATACCTATTGCCTATTTTCTTTTTAACAATTAAAATTCATTACTTTTGTAAAATATTAAGTTTTTTAAAAAACTAGTATAAACAATTAATTAAATAAATGTTTAAAACTGCACAACACTTAAGGAAAACTTTTATTAATTTAATTTTTACAAACATTTTCTTTCAGTGGTGTTTAAAAATAATTTTAAGACCATACAATTTGACCAATTGAATTGAATTAACAATTAAATCAATCACTCAGAATATATTAACAATTTAAACATATATATATTTTTTTTTAATTTAACTATTTCCCTAAGTACGTTAATAGTATAATTACTTTGTGTAATACGCCCTTGGAATTCGATGCACACCAAAGACTTAATTGAATTATTACATGCTACCGTGATGTGCAAATGACGTGCGTTTCAGTTGTTTTTGTACATTTACCAAGAAACTTTTTGATAAAAACCCACCAACAGTCGAGTGGCTGCATATTATTATTACAATAAATACCGTGGCGGAAAAACATTAGATTTAAGTACTAAAATAATAGTATGATAATTCAATTATATGCGATGTAGTATCGCGATTAGCTTATTAATTTTCGGATTAAGTCACAATGAAAGGAACTATACGAGATATTGGAAAGATATTCTAACAGAAATACATCCTCCATTGTAATAGTTATCTCTTGTATTGTCAACATAATAGTTTGTCGATTGTTTGTCCGAAAACAAAAGGGTCGAAAAACTGTTAACCGTTATCGTCAGTTTAGGTACCAAGAAAGTTTAATTAAAGTAGCAATTTTTAATCTAAACACTTATAGCAAGCTAAATAATTCTTGAGAATAGTAACAAAAACCACGTTTCATTAAATTCTTCAAGTGGGTATACAACAGTTTAAGTTGGTTTGAAGTCATGGTCGGACTAACGGTTTTACCGATCGCTATTACTTATTTTTGCGTAATTTAATTTGAACTTATTTAATTCAAAAGTCGCGTTTGAATATATTCAAAAATTTGTAACGAAAACACTTTCAGTGATAAAAATAATTATTCATTTTGTATCATATTAAACGAACTTTAAAATATTTATTCCTTGAACAACTTAAATAGTTTACAAAATTTAACTTAATTATTTTAAAATTCTTGTATAATTTAATTAGTAATCAATTAAACATTTGTGTTGATTTATAGTTAATTGTTAACAAATTTCTTGACGCATCTAATAAAACTTAATTACAAAATACTAAAATACCTACTAAGTAATAGTGTAATAATCAATATTGTATAAACTTAACTTGAAAAAGTGAAATCTATTATAAAATGAAAAATGTATTTATTTCATTAAAAATAAAAATAAATATAATTAAGTAAAAATTATATTTTAATATAGAAAAATACATGTGTAGCGTTTCAAAATATACTGATAAAATAAAATGAATCCGTGTCTATAACTAATTGTTAAACATATTAGTATTATATATTTAATTACTCAAGAAATTTATTTTAAGCACGAACTTTCATTCATGAAGAGTATAGTATGAAAATTATATTACAATTTTTTATTTATTACCTATGAAAAATATATAGTTAATAATAATACTGATTTTGACTATCTTATTTTAGTATAATGATTTTCAAAATATTTTTATAGATATTGAGTAAATTAGTTTTATTTTATATTATATTTTCGATAAACAAAGCAACTAATTAATTGTCAATAGTTTAGAAATAAATAAAAAATATTCATTTATATTTGTATATTGGGCTAAGTCATACATATAAACGATTAATTGTTACACTACTGTAGTAGATATATTTAATTACGCTAAATTTTATAACTAATACAAAACTGCAATCTGTTATTATCAATAACTAACTAATGGACAATATACTTATAAGTATTTAACCATAAGTAACCCATCGAACAGACACATCTATCACTAAATCTACGACACGCATAATAAATATGTGATCTGTCTACAGGTTAAAAGTGGAACGTGCCGGGGGTGGTTGGTGCCCCAAACCACCGGTAGAACAAGGCGTCCGAGAATGGCTACAAGTGGATTTCGGGTCTGTGCATATGATCACAGGAGTACAAACTCAGGGACGATTTGGTCATGGGCGTGGACTGGAATATGCTGAAGAATATACATTGGAGTACTGGAGACCCGGGTTGGCAGAATGGAAACCGTATAAGAGATGGGACGGAAAACAGGTGAGAATCGAACAATTGAAATTCGCGTTATTATTATTGTTATCGGTATTATAAAGGTTAAAGCTATTAAGATTGTTTTAGATTTATTAAAGTTTTCTTCAGGGTAATCGCATAAAAATTTCATGGAAGTAATTTCAACTTAACAATTTCTAGTTCAAAATATATATAGATAAAAATAAATATATGTTTTAATAAGATTTATAAGCTTGGAAATTATTAAACCAATTGGCACTAAATTTTTCTTATACATTCTATAAGACTCGATAAGTGTTTATAGCATTGTTTTTTGTTATTCAATCCATATTGGTACAATAGGATGATTCACGTGTGTATTTAGCTTTTGCTCAAAAAAAGCTTTATATATATTTCATAAGAATTGCCACTAGTCACAGAAATATAAGAGACTATTATATACATAAATTGATGTAATTTTGTAGTTTATATGTTCAAAAATTATTTAACTAGTTTTGACGAAAATTTTAGAAATATTTCTTAGTGATACAGAAAATAGTTTTAACCACATTAGAAAATATATAGAGTCTACAGCCAATCAGACACAGATAAATTATTCTTCTCAGCCAACAAAGTTCAAAAAGCGATGTACACCGACTTCAATTTTTCTGTAAATATACCTACAGATATACTAAAATCAAAACACACCAATATAGTGCTGAAATCGGGTTAACATTTAGTAATATTATAAAACTTTGCGTTGTGCGTTTACACTATATTATTTTAATAATAACAAGTTTTTTTTTTTTTTTGCAAAAATAATATGCAATATTTAATAAGCTCATCAGAACGTGACCAGACAATGTTTCATTGTTATTATCGTGTAATGCATTCTGTTTGCAGCAATAATCGCACTTACTTTTATTACATCGTTATCTGAGAGTGCAGCTTGAGTTGGTTTTAAAATATATTATGATATTTATGACATGATTATTAACACTATTACATCAACGTGAACAATAATTTATAGTCCACGATCGATCAATAGCTTGCGTCATGTAGATATGTATTGTCATCATCAATAATCATGTTGTATGTACAACTATGATAATTTGTCCGATAACATGATAATGCTGACTGACGAGAACGTTACATGAAAAAACACTCATTCGGACTGCTTCAGAAAATCCTCGCCAAATTTAAAATATTTATTATTAAATATCATTTTATTATATTTTGCGTGTAATCTATGCATTAATGGATCAAAAATTATAAACACCAAATCATAGTAAATATTTTAACGTGAATAATTAAAATTTGTTAGAAAAGAGACACTTCAAGGTTGTATATAATAATACGTATTTCAGCGCAATATTATTGTTATATTGATCAGTTCATACGTTTTTGTTTCGTTGTCCTCTAAAAGATTAAAATAAAAATGGCTTTCGTCGACAATAGATTCAACAGTCTCAGACATTTAACGCATTATTATTTTAGTTTTTGGTAGGCAGAGAGTAGTTATTTATTCGAGCCAAAAACAATGACAACATCGAGTACATGGTGAATATAGCAGTGGACAAAATGTTTTACGAGTTTCATAAGGAAAGTTTAGTCCGTGATGGCGATAGCGATGTCGGTAATGGTGGTGGTGGTGGTGGTGGTAGCAGCGGCAAAAGACTTAGGGATCCAGAGCACGTTATTAAAAACACTGGGAAATTTATGGAACGATAACAATAATATCGACCTGCCCTGTTATCTTTCCTCTGCGCTTGGGGTCGAACGGACAATAGTTCCGAAACGAAAACTTTCACACCCTGAGTACAGTTACACCATCGCGTGTTTCAAAATTTTGGTGTTATTTTTTTCTTTAAAGATATTAAGGACGTTTTTATAGTTCCTGCTGAAGACGCTTATGTTAATTTTCTGTCTACACAAAGAAAAATGCAATTTTAATACTTTAATTTTTAGTTTTTGTTCTTAATTTTAAAAAACCAAATTTTATCAATATGATATCATATCTAGATTAGTATATAGATCTATTGATAATTAATTAAAAATATTATGTTTATAATAATTTCATGTAATATTTAAAACATTGAAGAATTATAATTTAAAGTAATTAATAGTATTTCATTAAATATATTTATTTAAGTGTCATATTTTTCGATTAAGATTCAGTTACACACGTAAAACATATACTTGCTTGATTTCACAGAAAGTTTTTTTCTATTTTCATCATTGGAGCTTTTTGAAAATTGGGTTCGTAGGAAAATATGAAAAAATAATATTTATAATGAAAAATTTTCTGTTTATAATAAGATAGCTTTACATTTGTTTTAGTTCATTAAAATACGAGTATAACTCTGCATATTTAACATTTCCATTAACTAATCTGCAATAACTAAGCAATATCTGAATTAAATATAAAATAGTATTTGTTTAAATGTAATAACTGTACATACAACTTAAAAATTATAAAAAAAGGTAATTTATACATAATACCTTTCATTTCATTAATAATTTTGATAAGCAAAGCAGTTTCTGTACACACAATTATTTTATATTATAACATAGTCTTGATTTTAAGACGTAAGTAGTACGGCGCTATGTATAGGCAATATTGCTACACGTTTGTATACGTATATTTTTTATTAAGATATGGCATTCTGTATCACTTTAATCAAAATACAATAATAATATCAATCACAATAATTATTTAATGCATATATCATATAATATATTTTACCAAACATAAATTTTTAATAGTAAATATATTTTAATATTATTTTAAATAAATGTTAATTACTATTTTATTTTTATTATTTCAAATAATAAATAGCTATATCATTGCACAAATTTCAGGTACGTTTTTATTAATTAATTTCAATATTTGATAAAAACATGAAATATTTTATCAAAGTATTTATATGAGTTTCTGTGTGTTTTATGCTTTTATGCTCTAAAAGAAATGTAATAATATTTTTAGAGCATATATATTATATGTTCTCTTTGATTTATATTGCAGTATATTCATTAAATTTTATTTTATTTTGTTATTATTATTACTATTATTCAGTTAGAAAAAATTTAATTAATTAAATAAATATAGGTTAGTTAAATAAATATCTATTACCTCCTATAAAGGCTATTATTTTATAAAAACAAAATCAATAGTAGAGGAAACTCGGTAGGGGGCCAAGACAGACGTTTATGGACCTCGTCGAGTTGACAAAATAAGTATTTCAAATTAAATGTAGAGGATAAAAACCAATAGATAATTATTACTGTACATCAGGAAAAATACAAGAAAAGATATATAAACTAGATACTGATAAAAAATTAAAATAAGGAAGTACTCACCTCCATCTGTGTCGTATAATATGAATTTAGATTTTTTTATATCTATATAAAAAAAATAACAAAAATAAATCATTTATACATTATTTTATAACGGTTGCACGACCACCATAATATTATTGCCAAATACTATATTTTTACGACTATAGATAATAATTATATTTTATTTATGATTTTCTCATCGCTTTCAAAGCAAATTTTTTATTTAAATAATCCAGTGTCAAAAATATGTACACTTTTATTGTTATTGATGGTATGCCATCAATATGATTTTCTGTGGTAAGATGCTGTAAGTATTTATACCATAATAATAATATCTTACAACAATAAACGGTGATAATATAATATACCACTACATTGAAAACTACCTCAGTTTACGGTACACACTAACAGTCGATACTGGTTTATGGTGTACGTTAACTTTTCTATTATCCTCGTAGACGTGCCCACTTGACCATTTCAAGCGGAAAATATTAAACTACCACGTTCTCGCTTTCAGCGATTATGTATCGTGTGTGCGCACGGTCGAATTAACGAAATTCGATGTAGCCTGTAAATATAACGTGCGAGTATGCCTTTCCGGAGAAATATGTTGGTTAAATGTGTTTGAAAATATATATATTTATATTATACCTATATATTTACAAACAGGAAAATGCTTTTTCCTCCAACACGCAACAAAGGTTTTTTGATGATTTTATAACTCATATAAATGCTAAACCTTGTACGTCTGTCATGCGTCGTTCATCGTCATTCGGCGCGCTATTTGCTCACAACCACTTAACGTTTCGAAATTGTACATATATATATATAATATTTATATATAAACGTGAGACCAATCGCCCTTGAACGAGTTTAAAAGCAAATCCAAAAAATAATATATTATTTATAATTTTCAATAATATCGCACAAACGTACATAATAATAATAATAGTACGAGTATATAACACCCTTATACACCCTTTTGGTGTAGTCGGTGGCATATAAATGCGTGAATATGACATGAATTGCATTAGTACGACTACTAGATTACTATAAAAAAACATAATTTGAACACGTTTTACCGCAAATTTAAAATTATGAAGTTGCACAAATAAAATATTATTGTAAACTAAAATGTGTTCATGTGACAGTTATATAACCGTAATATATAGATTTATGTATATTATGATGGCAAATAAGAAATAACCGTCCAGTATAAAATTCCAATGAGTATTTTAGACAGATTTTCCGTACAAAGAAATACAACTTATATAATGTAACATTTATAGTGCAGCTATAAATCCTAAATTCAAAGTACAGAATAAGTAATAATTAATTTTTAACATAATCCCATGTCAAAACAAAAGTTCTATTATATTAATATAGTTTTCAAAGTTAAACAGAAGTGGTTAGCTCTTTCAATTTTTAGTTTCGTTAAGTACATTTTACGCATCTCGCTAAGCTTAGTATAAATCTATTTAAAAAGCTGTCTGTCAACTTTTTACTCGTAATTCTTGTTCAAACAAACATAAACTTTACTAGTAACTTCCAATAGTATAAACGCACACAATTTACGCATTATATAGGACATAGGTATTAAAAATAGAACATGTATTGAACTGTTTAAAATACAAATAACATTAAGATCGTATTACCTAATATTTTCAATACTGATACAGTATATATATATCATTATATGTAGTATTATA